TAGTCTATAGTCTAGTCTATAGTCTAGTCTATAGTCTAGTCTATAGTCTAGTCTATAGTCTAGTCTATAGTCTAGTCTATAGTCTAGTCTATAGTCTAGTCTATAGTCTAGTCTATAGTCTAGTCTATAGTCTAGTCTATAGTCTAGTCTATAGTCTAGTCTATAGTCTAGTCTAGTCTATAGTCTAGTCTATAGTCTAGTCTATAGTCTAGTCTATAGTCTAGTCTATAGTCTAGTCTATAGTCTAGTCTATAGTCTAGTCTATAGTCTAGTCTATAGTCTAGTCTATAGTCTAGTCTATAGTCTAGTCTATAGTCTAGTCTATAGTCTAGTCTATAGTCTAGTCTATAGTCTAGTCTATAGTCTAGTCTAGTCTATAGTCTAGTCTATAGTCTAGTCTATAGTCTAGTCTATAGTCTAGTCTATAGTCTAGTCTATAGTCTAGTCTATAGTCTAGTCTATAGTCTAGTCTATAGTCTAGTCTATAGTCTAGTCTATAGTCTAGTCTATAGTCTAGTCTATAGTCTAGTCTATAGTCTAGTCTATAGTCTAGTCTATAGTCTAGTCTATAGTCTAGTCTATAGTCTAGTCTATAGTCTAGTCTATAGTCTAGTCTATAGTCTAGTCTATAGTCTAGTCTATAGTCTAGTCTATAGTCTAGTCTAGTCTAGTAGTCTAGTCTATAGTCTAGTCTAGTCTAGTCTATAGTCTAGTCTATAGTCTAGTCTATAGTCTAGTCTATAGTCTAGTCTATAGTCTAGTCTATAGTCTAGTCTATAGTCTAGTCTATAGTCTAGTCTATAGTCTAGTCTATAGTCTAGTCTATAGTCTAGTCTATAGTCTAGTCTATAGTCTAGTCTATAGTCTAGTCTAGTCTATAGTCTAGTCTATAGTCTAGTCTATAGTCTAGTCTATAGTCTAGTCTATAGTCTAGTCTATAGTCTAGTCTATAGTCTAGTCTATAGTCTAGTCTATAGTCTAGTCTATAGTCTAGTCTATAGTCTAGTCTATAGTCTAGTCTATAGTCTAGTCTATAGTCTAGTCTATAGTCTAGTCTAGAGTCTAGTCTATAGTCTAGTCTATAGTCTAGTTATAGTCTAGTCTATAGTCTAGTCTATAGTCTAGTCTATAGTCTAGTCTATAGTCTAGTCTATAGTCTAGTCTATAGTCTAGTCTATAGTCTAGTCTATAGTTAGTCTAGTCTAGTTAGTCTAGTCTATAGTCTAGTCTATAGTCTAGTCTATAGCTAGTCTATTAGTCTATAGTCTAGTCTATAGTCTAGTCTATAGTCTAGTCTATAGTCTAGTCTATTAGTCTAGTCTATAAGTTAGTCTATAGTCTAGTCTATAGTCTAGTCTATAGTCTAGTCTATAGTCTAGTCTATAGTCTAGTCTATAGTCTAGTCATTAGTCTAGTCTAGAGTCTAGTCTATAGTCTAGTCTATAGTCTAGTCTATAGTCTAGTCTATAGTCTAGTCTATAGTCTAGTCTATAGTCTAGTCTATAGTCTAGTCTATTAGTCTAGTCTATATAGTCTAGTCTATAGTCTAGTCTATAGTCTAGTCTATAGTCTAGTCTAGTCTATAGTCTAGTCTATAGTCTAGTCTATAGTCTAGTCTATAGTCTAGTCTATAGTCTAGTCTATAGTCTAGTCTATAGTCTAGTCTATAGTCTAGTCTATAGTCTAGTCTATAGTCTAGTCTATAGTCTAGTCTGTAGTCTAGTCTATAGTCTAGTATATAGTCTAGTTTATAGTCTAGTCTATAGTCTACTCTATAGTCTAGTCTATAGTCCAGTCTATAGTCCAGTCTATAGTCTAGTCTATAGTCTAGTCTATAGTCTAGTCTAAAGAATAGTCTATAGTCTAGTCTATAGTCTAGTCTATAGTCTAGTCTATAGTCTAGTCTATAGTCTAGTCTATAGTCTAGTCTATAGTTTAGTCTATAGTCTAGTCTATAGTCTAGTCTATATTCTAGTCTATAGTCTAGTCTCTAGTCTAATCTCTAGTCTATAGTCTAAACTATAGTCTAGTCTATAGTCTAGTATATAGTCTAGTCTATAGTCTAGTCGCTAGTGTTGTCTTCAGTGTTGTCTAGTTTATAGTTTGGTGTTTAGTATAGTCTATAGTCAAGTGTTTAAATTTGTCTATAGTCTATTCTACAGTCTTGTAGATTGTCTAGTCGATAGTCTATTCTAAAGTCTAGTCTATATTGCAACCTTTAGTCTTGTCTATAGTCTAAAGACAAAAGTTTTTAATAAATAGTCGAGGCTACAATCCATACAATAGGGTACTTTATTGCAAAACTCAAATCCTTCCATCAAAGGATAAGGCAGGACAATTCATAGCAACTTTATTGTACATTTTCAGTTTCGTCATCACAATCACCTCTGCAGGAGACACATCATACATTCACTGAACTCATTTATTCTTTTTACGCTACATTCTTCAAGGTTTTAAATGGCAATAAAGGTAAAATATACTCGACAGAAAAAAAAAAATACCCATCCAGGACAGGTTTGATACAGTACTCAGTATTTCCACTAACAGGATAGCTGACTGACTGACTGACTGGCTGGCCGGTTGTTGGGTTGCTTAACTGACATGCTTTTCACTGATGGTGCTGGTAAAAAGTGAAACAGGTTAAAACCTTTATAACAAATGATTTGCTGAATAACCAATAATGAAACAAAAACAACAACAGTAACATCTACAACAATAGGTTATATTTTCTATTGCTACTTTTTTTCCCTTGTAAATGGGCAAAAAGGCCCAGTTTGTATAATAGCAATTCACATTTTGCTCTAACAAAAACATTGAACTGTCTGTCTAGAGGATTTTTTTCTGTTGTAATTTCTTACATTTTTGTTATATATTTCCATTTAACTACTGAAAGGTATAATTCATTGTCAAATGCATTGTTTTGACCTGATTTACATGTTTATGAATGTGCTTTTGCCAGTTCTACACCGCCCTTCTTAAACCACTTTTAAAGCTACATAATCATAGTAGTACTTCATGAAGACTTTCAGGTGGACTCTCTAAGGTGTATAAGTTTATTTGATTTGAAAAGTTATTGCTTTTGTTGTCACTGGTTTAGTTTTTTTCTGTTGGTTGGTGGCAGCGACATCGGCAACGACTGTGACTTGTATATATGCCACTGACAATCAAGTACATTTTGTTAGAAAGGACATGGTTGTCGGAGAGATAGAGAGAACTCAAGCGAGTGAATGAACGACTGATAGAAAAACTAAAAGACAAAAGGCCAACGTTAATGAGGCAAGAGTATAAAAAATAAATCTAAAGGCTTTTGTCGTTTATGTATGTATGTATATAAATCTATGTGTTTTAATAACAACTACATACATATATATTTATTTCAACATTCATAAGGACTACTGGAAAATGTCCTTAACAGTGTTGCTGTGTTATGTGCCACTAGTGTGCTAGTAGTATTGATAAAAATGTATGTCACAATGTTATGTCATCATGAATTTGCAAAAGTATAAAGCCAATTTGCTTAAGTTGAAGTGTCTATAGAATAATGACAAAGTGGAGAAGAAGCAAAAAATAAATAACAATGAAAAAATAAAACAAATATGAAGCAAAGGTGAAGGAACTGTTACACATACATACATATTTTATATAGTTTTTATTGAATGGAAGTGAAATATTTAATTGAACTTTTAATTGGACAAGCAGCGGTTGCTTTAAATTCAAATTATGAAATTATTTTATTGATTTGAATCGTTTAGTTTAGACTACAGCCCATATTGTAGTCGATACTATATTCCAGACTATAGTCTATAATAAAGCCCACATAGACAACAGACTAGTCTATAGACTATACTATAAATTAGACTATGGAGTGGACTATAGACTAGACTATAGACTGGCCTATAGAATAGACTATAGACTAGCCTATAGACTAGACTATAGACTAGGCTATAGACTAGACTATAGACTAGACCATAGACTAGACTATAGTCTAGTATATAGACTAGACTATAGACTAGACTATAGACTAGACTATAGACTAGATTATAGACTAGACTATAGAATAGACTATAGACTAGACTATAGACTAGACTATAGACTAGACTATAGACTAGACTATAGACTAGACTATAGACTAGACTATAGACTAGACTATAGACTAGACTATAGACTAGACTATAGACTAGACTATAGACTAGACTATAGACTACACTATAGACTAGACTATAGACTAGACTATTGACTAGATTATAGACTAGACTATAGACTAGACTATAGACTAGACTATAGACTAGACTATAGACTAGACTATAGACTAGACTAGACTAGACTATAGACTAGACTATAGACTAGACTATAGACTAGACTATAGACTAGACTATAGACTAGACTATAGACTAGACTATAGACTAGACTATAGACTAGACTATAGACTAGACTATAGACTAGACTATAGACTAGACTATAGACTAGACTATAGACTAGACTATAGACTAGACTATAGACTAGACTATAGACTAGACTATAGACTAGACTATAGACTAGACTATAGACTAGACTATAGACTAGACTAGACTAGACTATAGACTAGACTATAGACTAGACTATAGACTAGACTATAGACTAGACTATAGACTAGACTATAGACTAGACTATAGACTAGACTATAGACTAGACTATAGACTAGACTATAGACTAGACTATAGACTAGACTATAGACTAGACTATAGACTAGACTATAGACTAGACTATAGACTAGACTATAGACTAGACTATAGACTAGACTATAGACTAGACTAGACTAGACTAGACTAGACTATAGACTAGACTATAGACTAGACTATAGACAGTATATAGATAAAAGTGTATACAGACTGCAGTCGATAATATATATAGTTCATGCTATATTATCGATATAGTCCTGAATATGTTCTATACTACAGTCCTAATTTAGTCAAGACATTAGTTTAGATTTTGCATATGCTATAGCCCAGATCATATTGGAGATTATGATTATTATACTATATTATATTGTTTAAAAATATATTCTTTCAAAATGATGAAACAACAATAACTAGCACTTAATTCTCAATAACACTTTACACTATAACAGCTTCATGTTCGGTCATACATACTATAATCAGATAGGCGGTATGACATTCTGAGGAACCCTTTTGGTGTTTGCAATCATCTATGATCTTGCTAACAGCATCCGGTCGATATCTTAAGGTGGGTATGCCTAGTAAATACTCTCTTGCACCATTTTCATCAAAGGCGCCATTCTTCCAGCTACCATGTTTTTCCACATAACACTTTAATAAACACATTATAGCTTCCTCAGGCTTTTGCTTATAATTTCCATAAAAAGTGTACAATTCGTTCTCGCTGACCGGGACTTCTTCACGGCAGGCCATGTCTATTTTGTCAAGCATCTCTTTCATATAGGCCTTAAGGGGAGGAGTTGTGCTTATACAAATATAATTTTATTTTTATAAAAATTGTAATACCTTTACTTGTACTAATGCTAAAATTACTGTTATGAATATAATGTAGAAATTCATAATAATTTTTGATCTAACAAAATATGTAGCTGAGTTGTGTTGTTTTAGAGTTATAGATCTATACTGATAATTTTAATTTATAATTCACACTTAAATTTATTAACAAATATTCATAGCAATTTGTTTAATTAAATCACAAATTATCGCCAAAATATTTTGACTGTTTTTGTGTTTGTAATAAACAACAATAAAAAAAACTCCATAGAAAATAATCTATGTATATCTGTATGTATTTAGAATGAGAAAAACGCTAGTTAGATTGTTACATTCAGCTGAGCCGAATTTTATATACGCTACATTTCATTGATCAAATATATGGACTATATTCTATAGTCCAGACTATAGTCTATATTTCATACTATAGTCTATAGTCCAGACTATAGTCTATAGTCCAGACTATAGTCTATAGTCCAGACTATAGTCTATAGTCCAGACTATAGTCTATAGTCCAGACGATAGTCTATAGTCCATACTATATTCTTTAGTCCAGACTCTAGTCTATAGTCCAGACAATAGTCTATAGGCCAGACTACAGTGTATAGACCAGATTATAGTCTATAGTCAAGACTACAGTCTATAGTCCAGACTATTAGTCTAAAATCCATACTATAGTCTATAGTCCCGACTATGGTCTATAGTCCCGACTATAGTCTATAGTCCAGACTATATTCTATAGTCTATAGTCCAGACTATATTCTCTAGTCCAGACTATATTATATATTTGAGACTAAAATCTATAGTCCAGACTATAGTCTATAGTTCAGACTATATTCTCTAGTCCAGACTATAGTCTATAGTCCAGACTATAGTCTATAGTCCAGACTATAGTCTATAGTCCAGACCATAGTCTATAGTCCATACTATATTCTTTAGTCCAGACTCTAGTCTATAGTCCAGACTATAGTAGTCCAGACTATAGTCTATAGTCCAGACAATAGTCTATAGGCCAGACTACAGTGTATAGACCAGATTATAGTCTATAGTCAAGACTACAGTCTATAGTCCAGACTATTAGTCTAAAATCCATACTATAGTCTATAGTCCCGACTATAGTCTATAGTCCAGACTATATTCTATAGTCTATAGTCCAGACTATATTCTCTAGTCCAGACTATATTATATATTTGAGACTAAAATCTATAGTCCAGACTATAGTCTATAGTTCAGACTATATTCTCTAGTCCAGACTATAGTCTCTAGTCCAGATATTAGTCTAAAATCCATGCTATAGTCTATAGTCCCGACTATAGTCTATAGTCCAGACTATATTCTATAGTCTATAGTCCAGACTATATTCTCTAGTCCAGACTATATTATATATTTCAGACTAAAATCTATAGTCCAGACTATAGTCTATAGTTCAGACTATATTCTCTAGTCCAGACTATAGTCTATAGTCCAGATTATAGTCTATGGTCCAGACTATGGTATATAGTCCAGACTACAGTCTATAGTTCCGAGTATAGTCAATAGTACAGACTATAGTATATAGTCCAGACTACAGTCTATAGTCCCGAGTATAGTCCATAGGCCAGACTATCGTATACAGTTCAGACTGCAGTCTATAATCCAGATTATGTTCTATAGTCCAGACTACAATCTATAGTCTAAGTCCAGACTACAGTCTATAATTCAGACTAAAGTCTTTAGTCCAGATCCTAGTCTAGTCCGAGTATAGTATAAACTATAGTTTGGACTATAGTGTATACAGCAGACTATATTTTATAGTAAAGACTGTAGTAAATAGTCTAGATTATGTTCTATAAAAATACATTTAACTAAAAATATACATATGTATTAATATATATAATATACTACATAATGTAAATAATATACTAAAACCTTCACACATACATTTAATTATATGACCGAAAATTAAATATTATTATATTAAATTAAATTTGTTTTTCAATGTCATGGATCCATAATTGGCCAAAGCTCCCATATGCTGGCCGCTTCCCATATTCATTTAAACGCAAATTACGCAAAAAAAATCCCTTAACCGTCTATTTATTTGTAATTAGTTTTAGGTATTTAGACATTTAATTTTTAAATTTGAATTGAATATTTTACTAAATTAAGCTTCCAATTTTCATATAAATTTGAGCAAATTTTCAAATAAAATTATTAGAATGGATTTATAATTCTAATATAAAACAAGCTAGAAAATTTGTTAACAAAACATGAAGTTCTACCTATTATTTATGGTAGTAATTTTGGCAGCAGGACAAGTCAAGGTATGTAAATTATTAGAAAAATAAAATTTCTTTATTATAAAATAGAAATCATTTTACTAAGTCCGACATGAAATTGGACCTAAGCAAAGTAGACATGGCTTGCCGTGAGGAAACCCAGGTCAGCGAGAATGAAATTAAGAGATTCTTTCAAAATGATATGAAAGAACCTAAGGAGGCAATAAAATGTCACTTAAAATGTTATATGGAGAAATATGGTCAATGGAAAAATGGCGCCTTTGATGAAGAAGCTGCCAAAAAGTTTTTACACAATATAGCCGCCACAGAAGACGAAAAGGATGTTATAAATAAGACTATAGATGATTGCAAAACTAAGAAAGGTTCCTCAGAATGTGATACCGCCTATCTGATTACCAAATGCATGACTGAATACAAAGCAGTTGTCATGTAAACTGTTATATTTGTCTGTGTACTACATTATGTCAGAAAATCTATTTCCAGAAATATTTGATCAATTAAAATGTAAATTTATATAACAATAACTATTAGGTGGAGCGTATATAAAATTCAGCTTAGCACAATAGCTTAATTAACTCTAGCTTATTTTCTCATTTAAATATATAAAATAATATATGCAGATGTAAATTGTTTTCTATTTATTTGTATTTGTTAATAACAAAACATCCAAAATATTTTATAGAACTTTGTGATTTAGTAAGATAAATATCAATATTTAAGTGAGAATTTTAAATTAAAATTATTAGTATGAATTTAAAATTCCAAAACAACACAATATGAAATTCAACATTCTATTCATCGGTGTAATTGTGGCAATAGTGCAAGTCAAGGTATTAAAATTTTTTATAAAACTAAAATTGCATTTGTATAAATAAAACATAACTCCTTCCCTTAAGGCCGATATGGAAGAGGAGTTTGATCAAGTGAACATGGCCTGCCGTGAGGAAACCCAGGTCAGCGAGGAGGACTTAAATAGTTTCTTTCAAAATTATAATATAAAGCCCCAGGAAGCTATAATGTGTTTCTTAAAATGTAATATGGAAAAACAGGGGTACTGGAAAAGCGGCGCCTTTGATGAAATTGCTGCGAAAGAGTTTCTACTAGACATGCCTGAATTAAAAGATCAAGAGGATGCTGTAAACAAGTACATAGATGATTGCAAAAATCAAAAGGGTTCAACGGAATGTGAGACTGCCTATTTGATTACCAAATGCATGACCGAACATGAAGCTCTTATAATGTGAAGTTCGCCAATTTGAAAGAACAAATTTCTAAATAAACATATTAACAAAAAAGTAAAAATTTCAGTTTACACTACAGAATGGGATACATCATAGAGTATATCTTTGACGAGTGGCCTATGATAGGTTAGTGTTCTAGTCTGGTACACCGGAAGTGATGTGTTAGATTCCCATCTGAGGCACTGGTAAAGCAAGCCCCGTTAGAGGCCTAGGTTTATTTCTAAGGATTTTAAGCTAACTAACTAATTAGCTAATCAGTCTGCTGAATAGTCTTGCCTTGTCCAGGCTACTCTATGGTCTTATCTACTAAGTAGTCTAGTCTCTAGTCTTATATATAGTCTCGCCTATAGTCTATACTATAGTCGTATCTATACTCCTCTCTATAATCTAGTCTACAGTCCAGTCTTGAATATATTCTATGTCTTAATTCTTGTCCCTATTATTTGCTTATTTAAACTACATTATCGTCTAAAGTTATTCGGCCTATTAAACTATTGCCTACATTTTTACAAACTAGACTTCATTACCTTTCCAATGATATATAATATGTAACATCTATACGTTTATTTTGTCGCAATATTAACTAAACAAAACACATGTCTTGATAAATAATCTACTTAAGATAAACAAAGCTTACTATGCACTTCTCATTATTTAGTGTACCCTTTGCATGTAGGCAGTACTTGTGTTGTTGTTGTTTTTGGAGTATAAACCGGTCTTAAGTAAACTTTTAGCAACGCCAAATACGGATTTTATATGTTAGCGGTGTTTTAATGCATTGCGTGTTTTGCCGTTGATAGAATGCATATATAAGCTAATTCCACCAAAAAAATGAAATTTTCACTAAAAATTGAAATTTTCACTAAAAATTGAAATTTTCACTAAAAATTGAAATTTTCACTAAAAATTGAAATTTTCACTAAAAATTGAAATTTTCACTAAAAATTGAAATTTTTATTAAAAATTGAAATTTTTATTAAAAATTGAAATTTTTATTAAAAATTGAAATTTTTATTAAAAATTGAAATTTTTATTAAAAATTGATATTTTCACTACAAATTTAAATTTTCACTAAAAATTGAAATTTTCACTAAAAATTGAAATTTTCACTAAAAATTTAAATTTTCACTGAAAATTGATATTTTCACTAAAAATTGAAATTTTCACTAAAAATTGAAATTTTCACTAAAAATTTAAATTTTCACTAAAAATTGAAATTGTCAATAAAAAGTTGAAAATTCAATTAAAATGGAATTTTTACTTGAATTGAAATTTTCATTATAGTCTGTACTACAGACTGTAGTCTGTACTGTAGACTACAGTTTGGACTATAGACTATTGTCTAGACTATAGTCTGGCCTATAGTCTACACTATCGACTATAATATGGGCTATAGACTGTAGTGTGGACTATAGACTATAGTCTGGACTATTGACTATAGTCTGGACTATTGACTATAGTCTGGACTATTGACTATAATCTGCACTATTCACTATAGTGTGGACTATTGACTATAGTTTGGACTATTGACTATAGTCTGGACTATTGACTATAGTGTGGACTATTAACTATAGTCTGGCCTATTGACTATAGTCTAGACTATCGACTATAATATGAGCTATAAACTATGGTCTGGACTATTGTCTGGACTATTGACTATAGTCGGGACTATTCACTATAGTCTGGACTATGGACTATACTCTGAACTATTGACCATAGTCTGGACTATTAAATATAGTCTGGACTATTGACTATATTCTGGAATATTGACTATAGTCTGGACTATAGACTGGACTATTAAATATAGTCTGGACTATTGACTATATTCTGGACTATAGACTATAGTCTGGACTATAGACTATAGTCTGGACTATTGACTATATTCTGGACTATAGTCTGGACTGTAGACTATAGTCTGGGCTGTAGACTATAGTCTGGACTGTAGACTATAGTCTGGGCTGTAGACTATAGTCTGGAGTGTAGACTATAATCTGGACTGTAGACTATAGTCTGGACTGTAGACAATAGTCTGGACTGTAGACTATAGTCTGGACTGTAGACTATAGTCTGGACTGTAGACTATAGTCTGGACTGTAGACTATAATCTGGACTGTAGACTATAGTCTGGACTGTAGACTATAGTCTGGACTATAGACTATAGTCTGGACTGTAGACTACAGTCTGGACTATAGACTATAGTCTGGACTGTAGACTATAATCTGAACTGTAGACTATAGTCTGGACTGTAGACTATAGTCTGGACTGTATAATACAGTTTGGACGATAGACTATAGTCTGGACGATAGACTGTAGTCTGGACTATAGGCTATAGTCTAGACGATAGACTATAGTCTGGACTATAGGCTATAGTCTGGACTAAAGAATACAATCTGGACTATAGTCTGGATTATAGTCTATAAAATACAGCCTGGGCTACAGTCTGGACTATAGACAATAATCTGGAATATAGAATACCATCTGGAATATAGAATATAGTCTGGACTATAGGCTATAGTCTGGTACAGTCTACTATACGCTACATTATATTTTAAGATACATTTTATATTGTTCCTTTTTTTGACGTTATAAGCAAAAATCTAAACTTCTTTTTAATATTAGCCCATGTTTTTATTTAGAACTCTGTTCTTTCAAATTTGCGAAATAACAATAGTTTAATTCACAATAACACTTTACATGAGATTAGCTTTGTGTTCTGTCATGCATTTAGTGATCAGATAGGCGGTATCACATTCTGAAGAACCCTTTTGGTTTTTACAATCATCTATAGCCTTGTTTACAGCATCCTGTTGATCTTTTAAGGAGGGTATGCCTTGTAAAAACTTTTTGACAGCATTTTCATCAAAGGCACCATTTTTCCAATGGCCTTGCTTTTCCATAAAACATTTTAAGTGACACTTAATAGCATCCGTTGGTTCATCCTTCATGTTATTACTAAAGAAAGATTTTAATGCATCCGCGCTGACATGGGATTCCTCACGGCAGGCCATGTCTAGTTTGCGCATTTCCTCTTTCATATCGGCCTTAGCGGAAAAAGGAATGTTTTATATAAAGGAAGTTTTATTTTTTGAAACAAATTTAATACCTGGACTTGTGCCACTGCCAAAACTGCTGCCATCAACATTATATAGAATTTCATGTTTTTTTTATCAGTTATCTATGAAGTGTTGTGTTAGAATTATAAATCCAAACTAATAATTTCATTTGTAAATTTGCTCTAATTTATATGAAAATTTTTAACTTTATTATTTTCATTTAAATTTATTAACAAAAATATTCATATTTATCCAATTAAACCATAAATTTTCTACAAAACCTTTTGGCTGTTTTGTTTGTGATAAACAAAAAAATAACTAAATAGAAAATAATTTACATTACTATATGAATGTGAGAAAAAAAAAAACTTATTAATAAATGCAATTATTGTGTTCAAAGCCAATGAAATTGATTTGAATTTGTATTTAATTTGAAAATATTTGTTAATAATATTTCAGCACAAACAAATCGTACAAAACAATTCGTTTGTGGTTATTTTGTTTATGTGGCTTTTAAAAATATTTGTTTTTTGTTTTGTAAATTTTGCGCATTTTGTGTGAATTAAAGCATTTTGTTGTATTTAGATATTCATTAAGTGCAATTAAATTATTATTATAAACAAAACAATACAATTTGTTAATTTAAAAAATTTTGCAAATAAAACTTAACAACATATAATTTGCAGGTTTTTATAAATGTTTTTAACTTTTATTGACATTTATTAAACTAAATTAACAGTCTGCTAGAAAACAGGGCGTTAATTATTATTAATAATTTTTTAAATTTTTTTTGTTTAAATTGAAAATTACTTTCCTTGCTGAAACAGCTGTTAATTTTACTTAATTATTACTTTTCTTAAACTTCACATAATTTTTTACAAAATTACCAAATCTGTTCTTACTTTTAAACCAATAACAAGACAAGAATCCCTCGAACCATTAAATGTGCAACCTAAAAATGTGTTAAAACTCCAGCTGTGTGTTTTGGTAAAACATTTGTCAGTTAAGGCGTCAACTCTGCGCTGTTTGAGCCCACATCCTTTTTTTCTATTTTCTCTAAAGAAAAGAACAACCATTACCTTAAACTGCATTTCATAGTCCTTTTTTTTCTCAACAGTTGTAGTTCTTTAATTTTATGGTTTTAATTTTAACCTCAAAATAATATTTTTAAAAGAAAATTTTCTTAATTGTTAAAAGTAAACAAAACCCAATAAACAATTGTTTTTTTTTTTCTCGAGTGACAGTTTTCTGGTTTAATATGAAATTTTAAAATGCTAGCTTAAACAATGGATTATAATTTTTGTGGCCAAAGGTCAAGCATCCTGAGGGAATAGTTACATAAATCTTTGAGTTAAATAAGAAAAATTTAAGAAAATTTTGCAACAACAGTAGGGGTTCTTATGAGAAAAACTAAGAAATGAATAATGACCGGAAATTTTAGGCATATTGTGTACTGTATGCTATGTTTAAAGGAGTGATCAGTTCTGGCAATTACTACTGATTTAGTAGTTTGTTTGTCTTTCAAAATTAAACTATTGTCTCACCTAAATGGAAATGAAATGAACTATAGTCAGGTTATAGGATTATAGTATAAACTAAAGCCCACAGTCTTAGTTGAGTTCTAGTTCAGTACTAGTTCAGTTCTAGTTCAGTTCTAGTTCAGTTCTAGTTCAATTCTAGTTCAGTTCTAGTTCAGTTCTAGTTCAGTTCTAGTTCAGTTCTAGTTCAGTTCTAGTTCAGTTCTAGTTCAGTTCTAGTTCAGTTCTAGTTCAGTTCTAGTTCAGTTCTAGTTCAGTTCTAGTTCAGTTCTAGTTCAGTTCTAGTTCAGTTCTAGTTCAGTTCTAGTTCAGTTCTAGTTCAGTTCTAGTTCAGTTCTAGTTCAGTTCTAGTTCAGTTCTAGTTCAGTTCTAGTTCAGTTCTAGTTCAGTTCTAGTTCAGTTCTAGTTCAGTTCTAGTTCAGTTCTAGTTCAGTTCTAGTTCAGTTCTAGTTCAGTTCTAGTTCAGTTCTAGTTCAGTTCTAGTTCAGTTCTAGTTCTAGTTCAGTTCTAGTTCAGTTCTAGTTCAGTTCTAGTTCAGTTCTAGTTCAGTTCTAGTTTCAGTTCTAGTTCAGTTCTAGTTCAGTTCTAGTTCAGTTCTAGTTCAGTTCTAGTTCAGTTCTAGTTCAGTCTAGTTCAGTTCTAGTTCAGTTCTAGTTCAGTTCTAGTTCAGTTCTAGTTCAGTTCTAGTTCAGTTCTAGTTCAGTTCTAGTTCAGTTCTAGTTCAGTTCTAGTTCAGTTCTAGTTCAGTTCTAGTCAGTTCTAGTTCAGTTCTAGTTCAGTTCTAGTTCAGTTCTAGTTCAGTTCTAGTTCAGTTCTAGTTCAGTTCTAGTTCAGTTCTAGTTCAGTTCTAGTTCAGTTCTAGTTCAGTTCTAGTTCAGTTCTAGTTCAGTTCTAGTTCAGTTCTAGTTCAGTTCTAGTTCAGTTCTAGTTCAGTTCGAGTTCAGTTCTAGTTCAGTTCTAGTTCAGTTCTAGTTCTAGTTCTAGTTCAGTTCTAGTTCAGTTCTAGTTCATGTTCTAGTTCAGTTCTAGTTCAGCTCTAGTTCAGTTCTAGTTCAGTTCTAGTTCAGTTCTAGTTCAGTTCTAGTTCTGTTCTAGTTCAGTTCTAGTTCAGTTCTAGTTCAGTTCTAGTCCAGTTCTAGTTCAGTTCTAGTTCAGTTCTAATTCAGTTCTAGTTCAGTTCTAGTTCAGTTCTAGTTCAATTCTAGTTCAGTTCTAGTTCAGTTCTAGTTCAGTTCTAGTTCAGTTCTAGTTCAGTTCTAGTTCAGTTCTAGTTCAGTTCTAGTTCAGTTCTAGTTCAGTTCTAGTTCAGTTCTAGTTCAGTTCTAGTTCAGTTCTAGTTCAGTTCTAGTTCAGTTCTAGTTCAGTTCTAGTTCAGTTCTAGTTCAGTTCTAGTTCAGTTCTAGTTCAGTTCTAGTTCAGTTCTAGTTCAGTTCTAGTTCAGTTCTAGTTCAGTTCTAGTTCAGTTCTAGTTCAGTTCAGTTCTAGTTCAGTTCTAGTTCAGTTCTAGTTCAGTTCTAGTTCAGTTCTAGTTCAGTTCTAGTTCAGTTCTAGTTCAGTTCTAGTTCAGTTCTAGTTCAGTTCTAGTTCAGTTCTAGTTCAGTTCTAGTTCAGTTCTAGTTCAGTTCTAGTTCAGTTCTAGTTCAGTTCTAGTTCAGTTCTAGTTCAGTTCTAGTTCAGTTCTAGTTCAGTTCTAGTTCAGTTCTAGTTCAGTTCTAGTTCAGTTCTAGTTCAGTTCTAGTTCAGTTCTAGTTCAGTTCTAGTTCAGTTCTAGTTCAGTTCTAGTTCAGTTCTAGTTCAGTTCTAGTTCAGTTCTAGTTCAGTACTAGTTAAGTACTAGTTCAGTTCTAGTTCAGTTCTAGTTCAGTTCTAGTTCAGTTCTAGTTCAGTTCTAGTTCAGTTCTAGTTCAGTTCTGGTTTACTTCTAGTTCGTTCTTGTTTAGTTGTAGTTTTCTTCTAGAAAATTTGTAGTATTTGATTAGTAGACTGTCCCTTCAGTCTGGTGAATATATAAAAGATTTCATTCCCTTTACAATTGTGAGCTTTATTAATATTTATCTAAAATAAAACAGAATATCTAAAAAAATATCAAAGCCCAAATAGAAACTGAAACATATTCAAAACTCATAAATTTATGAATGTTATAGAAGATTGCAAAAATGCAAACAATATACATACAAAATTGATTTTCCAACAACAACAAAACATTGTGCATAGATAAATTTATTTAAAAAATACATAAATATTTATAAATGCATGCTATAAGTTTTTGCTAAACTATTGTTGTAGCAGTTTTTTATGCAATTGAGTTCGGAAATTTAGCTTAGGATACACACTGGGTGTTTTTAAACAGAAGCAAAATATTAAGAACGATTATATTATAGATTTTTTAAACATATCCTAACAAAACACCCTATATATTCACCAACTTTTTTTGCGTATGATTTTATTAGAACAAAAGCCAGCTGATAGTGATTTTGTTCTTTTTTACACAAAAAAATTGCTATTTGTATATTTTATAAATTCATTTACAGGCACAATTTGTTTCGCCTGCCTACCGTTTGTCAATGCATTTGTTACACTTTTCAAAACACCGTTTCTTTCATTTCTCTACATTTTCTAATTTCCATTTGTACGGCTCGTGCATTAGAAAATGTTTTCTAATGCTGCACATTGTTTGGTAATTGTATATTTTATTTTTTGTAAAGATGAGTCTTGCTTTTAAATTTGCGTAATTTTAAGCGTAAATAATTTTGTAAATTGATTTTTCCTTTTTTTTGTGTAATGTAATGAGTTTTCTGTATCATGTTCCTTTTTTTTGTAATTTTTTTGCCTTTTGGTACAATTTTTGATTGCATTATTTTAAATATTCATTTGTTTACAGCTCATTATTTGTAACAGATGCTGTCAAATGGATTTGTGACAAGATACGATTATAATTGGATTAAAATAAATGTGCAGTTAGTTTATTTTTCTTAAGGAAATGTCGTTAGGAACTGCTACTGGCCAAGCTATATTTAAAGGACTGGTCTTTTGTTGTTAATCCTTATGTTGTACAAGGAAAATTGCTGCAATGTTGTAATTGGCTTCTGACCAGGTGACAAAAATTTGCAACAAAAATTAAAAAGCCTATTTCCTTTTTAAACAATAGTTCAGACAATCGAGGATGATCAAAACCCGTTTGGACTATAGTAGTCTATAGTCCAGAATATAATCTATAATCCATAATAAAGTATATAATCCACATTATAGTGCATAGTCCAGACAATAGTCTATAGTCTAGATTATATTCTATAGTACAGACTCTAGGCTATAGTCTAGACTATAGTCTATAGTCCAGACTATAGTCTATAGTCCTGACTACAGTCTGTAGTCCAGACTATAGTCTATAGTCCTGACTACAGTCTATAGTCCAGACTATAGTCTATAGTCCTGACTGCAGTTATAGTCCAGACTATAGTCTGTAGCCCAGACTATAGTCTATTGTCCTGACTATAGTCTATAGTCCAGAGTATAGTCTATAGTCCAGACTATAGTCTATAGTCCAGACTATAGCCTATAGTCCAGACTATAGTCTATAGTCCAAACTATAGTCTATAGTCCAGACTATAGTCTATAGTCCAGACTATAGTCTATAGTC